AGTATGACTAAGTTCATAATCTAATTGACAATTTGTTTTTAACATCTATCTTCGGAATCTATTATTCGATATTTTTAAGAATCTCTTCCAAATTTCTGTTAAACCTAATATTCGTGTCTAACAAGCATCTCTCCTCGATTCCTTCTTTAAAAAGCATACGTTTCACGATGTCGAATAGTCTCTTTTTTCTTTCCTTTTTCTTTTTTTCGATGAACGTTTCGGGCCGGGTTGAGAACCTCTGAGTGCAATCTTGTACCAACTGGGGTTTGCGGGGTCTTGGGAGACGCGACTCCGGTTCGTAACCTCCTCTCTCGGGGTCTTGGCTACGACGAGGGTGGAGTGAGGAATAGGGAAACAGGCGGCGTGGGTTGGTTGGTTGAGGTGGAATACCGGTAGGGTGAGTGGTAAGGAGACTACTTGGCGAGTGGAGGGAGGGTGAAAGGAAGGAGGAAGGAAGTGCAGGAGGCGCGGGAGGATGAGGCGGTAGTCGGTGGCTTGGGATATATCCGTAAGGTCGGGGTTCCACGGGTGGTGTGGGTGACGGTAGTTGGGCTGAGAGACGAGGCGCCGTGGTGAAGGAGTCGCTCACTCACTTACCACCCTCATGGCTCCGACCACCAACCCCAATACCACGCACACACCGCCGCGACACACTCCTCTCTCCCTCCGTTCTCCATCCCTCCTCCTCCACTTTCCATCCTTCTCTCCTCCACTTTCACCAACTGCCACCACATCGTCCCTCTCTCTCTCTCCGGTTACACACCTTCTCTCGATGCCTGGCTGGCTGCTTCTGCCGTTGGCTGCCGCTTGCCAAGTTGCCTGCCGGCGGACCAAGTCGTCCCCAACACTACAAAGTCTATATATCCACGGTGTACCCAACGTCCTCTCCCCCTCCTCCTCCTTCTGTCTTTCCGCCTCTCACTCTCCTTTTCAACCCACCCCTTTGAGAGGTACGCGGACCCCCATATTGATCGTGGCGCGAGAACCCTCTTTGCCGGAAAGGCTGGTGCCGGCGTACGATCCCGACGGGGCTAGGTGTAAGTAAACTTACGTGAACGAGCATTGGTCCGTGCCCGCTCGCCTCGAATACGTGTACACACACCACTCCCTTTTCGCTGCGTCGATAGGCAGAAGTGAGAAACGAGGGGACGGGGAAGAGAGGAAGAAGCTCTCTCTCCTCCTCCTCCTCCTTCTTCTACTCTCGTGAGAGGAGCATCGAGTGCTTTCGGTATTTCAACGGCGAGAAGGAAAACGATGCGTTTGCGCCCCCCGGGGATAGATAAGGGTGTTGAATACACCGGCGGCGAATCGAACGTATTGTTCGGGCGGGTCTGGGGAGAAAACTGTGGGTGTACGATACGTGATAAAGGAAAACACGCGTGATAAAATATAAATAACCGAAGTTGCTATTGGAGCAAATATAGCGAGCATCGGGCGAGATCTCGAGGTCTGTGAAAGATAAAAACTGCTGAAGGGCGGAGAGAGGGAGGGAAAAGTCGAAATATATAAAAATTCCACGAAACGTCGAAACTTTGGCAACGACGATTCATACGCGGGCTTCCTTTTATTCCCGGGCTAACCATCTTCCCTCCTAAATCCAAGATATTCGAGATTTCTCGCATTTTTATGATAATGCCTTGCCTGTCTCTCTCTCTCTCTCTTTCTCCTCTTTCTGTATCTTCTTTTTCGTGTTTTGCTGTTACTTCTTCCGTTTTTCTTTCGAGGAATCGTTCTTGGAAATATCGAAGTCTCTTCTCTCCTTCCATCTCGTATGTTTTCTTTCACGAGTACTCGATTTATTCGGAAAAAAGGAGGAGAGACGTGTATATATATACATATATATATATATATATATATATGTACACACGCTCTCCCGGTCTCGGCGAGGCTTTCCTTTCCAGGAACACGACAGTTGTAACCAGAACCGATTCTCGTGGCTGCTGGCCGGATAAATAGTGACTGGCCATTACCAGGTAACGAGGAGACGGCACATTCTCGTTTTGCCCCCGCGAGAGTGGAAACGGATCCTTTCGTTCTAGAAAAGTCGAGCGAGATATCCACATAATACGACTCCTCGGGGGATTCCTTCTGTTTGAGAAGTCGTCCCACGATGACCGTGTTTTCTTGCATCTTTCCGAGGAATTCGCCCCTCTCCAACTCCCCTCCATCTATCCTCCTCACCTTTTTATCGCGCGAACCGACTAGTCCTCGGACGAGGCCGCGTCGAAACGAATTTTTCGATGTCGTCTCCCTTTTGTTATCTTTCAAATCCTCTCCGTTTCACCTAACGAAATTTTGATTTCTCGATTAACTTACGAATTATTATTATTTTTCCTAATTTTATTACATACATTTCTTCTCGATAACGAATGTAATCTTTAACGAGTCTTATAATATCTTTCAAATTGGTAGAAGAAAATGAAATTGATTATTAAAGGGAAGAAACAACAAATTACAAAATTAGAAAGTTCAAAGCGTCATCCCTTCCCTCCTCGCCAAGAATAATAATAATAATAATAATAATAGGTAATCCTTCGAACCTAATTTCATTTCCCGCATCCCTCTACCCGTATAATTACCCGCAAATTCCTCGAGAGAGGAGGCACACCTCGGTCCCTAAATCATCGGTGGCGTATAGTAGTCGTCTCTCGCTATTTCATTTCCTTTCGGCCTCGACGCACGGTCCTCGAGGAAAGGGATGATACAGGGGGCTTGGGGGTAATGGACCGAGGTGGCAGTGGATGAGAGAGGCGAAGGGTAATTGAGAAGAGGAGATTTACTTCAGGGTCGAGAGAGGGTAGTTTACGGGTTGTGGGGGACGGGGAAGTCTATCTGGGGACAGGAAAAAGGCTCACGACCGCTTCACGCGGGTGAGAGGGAGGGAGGGGAGGAGAGAGGAGATACGTCGACCGTATCGACGACAAAACTGTCGCTCGTAAAACTTCCTCCCGATAATATCTTCCACGCCTTTCGGGACCTTTTTCGGTTATCTATCTATTGGTCGTATTGAGAGCTCCGTTCTCGAGTGACGTTTTGGGGCGGCGTTGACGCGCGGAGAGGAAAGAAAGGAGAGGATAGACGCGAGAATGAAATTTATTAAATCGTGTGCTTATAATGCGAAAGTGGGATCGGTGAAAAAGAAGGGATTGGGGAAGAGAGAGAAATTATTTTAACGATTGTTTTGATCATTGTAATATTGTTTGAACGTAATGAGTAAATATTGTAAATAGGAGGATTCTGTTTAACAGAATGTTATTAATAGAACTGTAACTATACAGTTTCTCGTCGTTATTATCGTTGAATAATAATTAGTAAATTTCTCATAATTCAATGTTATTACAATGATTCGCTGTATTGTTTTCTATCGCATAATAAATACACAATTTCAATCATTCATTAAGGTTCCGATTTCCACTTTTAACATTGTCCACCCTCGAGCCCACGTCAAAACGGTGTATGGTTGATTAAAATTTAATCAACCGTATTTTAATTGATACTCAATTAATCAATTAACTCCGAATTATAAACTCCATTGAAAAAGGAAACAAATATCCCGAAGATTTATTGGCCATCGAGATGATGGTGTATCGATCCTCTCCATTTATTATTAGCCGCAACGTTCTTTTTTCTTCTTTCTTTCTTTCTTTTTTCGTCGAACGATAGACTTATCCCATCCCTCGAAGATAAAGAAATTTTTTACTCGTCTGAATTTTTATCGCTCTCAACCGAGTCGACGATCTCTCGCCCATTACTATTTGCCCTTCCATCGCTTTTCCACGTGGCGAAGAAAAAACGTGGGAGACAGGATTGGTCGAAGGGCGCGCGTAATTCAATTGCTCCTCCGCTACATCGGACGGGTAAATATTTTATTTAATCGTGAGACACTGTTTAAACGGTTCGACGTTTCGTGATTCGTTTTTCGTTCGTTCGCCTTCCGCCCGAAACGAGGAATCTCTCTCTCTCTCTCTCGTCCGTTGGAAAGCTTGGACGGAATTGATGAGATCGCATTAACCGAGAACGGATTGTATACAATCCTGGAACGACTTTTCCTATATAGATAGATCTCGTCGTCGCTCGTTTTACGGCTTTTTTCCCGCTTTCTTCCTCTCCTCTTCTGAACGAGCATCTTCTACCGGTTGGATATCCAACGTGACAACGTATTACGACTGTGTCGTATCTTTCGTGTCGTGTAACGTTTGCGGTTATGTGTATACCTGATAACCGATTGATGGCATGGAAAAAAATTGTTTGGTTCGAAACGAGACGAGACGAGACGATAGATGGAAAATATTTACTTTTGGCTATTGGTGTATACGTGGATGGATCTTCTCTTCGTTACGATTTATAAATATTCGAATGGAAACGTATATAAACGGCGTTCGTGGCGGCGAACGAACGAATCTATCTCGTATGCCGATTCAAAACTTTAATCCAATCTTTAGAAAATTGTTCCCAGGTTATTGAGGTTATAAAATTGATGGCCACGGTCATGAGAGGATCATTTAGATCGTGGCATTGGTTCGGTCAATGTTATTCGAAGATTATACACGAGGCTATCGAGATCGTGACATTAACAGTTAAGGTCGCTTAAGTGACGGGGTCATCGAGATCACGTTGAATGGCACTTAAGGTCATTTAAAGATCTTGGCGAGGAGAGGGGGGTTTGACTCGTGCGTCTTCGGTTCGATGATTAATACGAGTTCGTTTCGTTAAATTATCAAACTTCCAATATAACGCGTACATGTAATATTCATAGATCGTTACGTAAATTCGAGTAAAGGAAGGATCCTTTTTAAAATTTATAGGAAACGAGAAAATGGAACGCTTCGAGATATTACACGTAATAAATATATTTTTATATGCTTAAAAGAATCGTCGATCTTTTTCCATTACATTTGCATTCGTTTCGAATCGATGGCAAGATTAAGAAAGAACTAACGTAATACTAACTCTCTTTTCTTTCTTCCAATCTCTTTCAACCATCCTATGATTCGTTGCAGAGAAGTTCGATATCGCCCGCGGAACGCGAGAAGTATAGCAGGCCTCGATCGACCGACCCCCAACACCACGACCACCTTCCATTGAAGAAGATGAAGAAAGAACAGGACAAGGATATAGGCCATGTAGGTATCCAGGATGGTCCTCCATGCCCCGCGACCGATGGTCGTACCTTTAATAAAGCCGTGCACGTTTTCCCCGATAGCAAAGCGATGGTGAAAAGAGCGACCAGGACTTGGTGGTGGACGATGCCAGCGAGGGGCCAACGAGCCCCACCGCGAATGGGACAGCGTCGCCGAGAGAGAACGGCCTCGACAAACTCGGCCCGTCCTCGGTCCCTTTGAGCAGCCAGGTGAAGAAAGAAGTCCCGCCACCATCGCCGAGAAGCGGCACAAGCAGCAACGCGAGCACACCCTCGGCTAAGAAGATGGAAGAACGAGAGAAACCAACTACGCCGATCTCGAAACCCGTCACGCCCACATCGGCTGGTATGTGTCGCGTTCCTCTTTTCCTTATTTATCCTCGAAATTTATATTCGAGATGAAGAGAAAGAGAGAGAGAGAGGATCTATTATATTCTTGAAAAAAAAAAAAAAAATTCAGTTAGTATAAATATCGTATATATAGTATAATATCGTTGAACATTGTTTCATTCGTTCGTGTATATTATAACTTGCTCGTTTTAAATGAAACTTTAACAGGACTAACGGTGTGAGAATTTATTCTCCATATTGTTAATGAGAAACAGAAATCTTACGTGTTCAAATATTAGCACGTCAAATATTAGACAGCAATTAGTGATATTACTTACTTACTTACTTACTTACTTACTTACTTACTTCGCTTCCACTAAAAAATTCAGAAGGTAAACGTTCCGTTGGATGGATTTCGTTCTCCTTTGCATACAGCGCTCGATGTATATAATACGTTGGTGCGTGCACGCGCGCGCGCGTAATAATATATCTCCGTATCAATCACGATGATGGAAAATACTTAGCAAGTCTGAGGATGAATGTATCGGTCGACAGGTGGTAGCAGCTCCGGGTCCGGTGGTCTGAAACCATCGAGTTCCAGCAAACCGCTGGTCTCGGCTTCGGCGGTCGGCCCTTATCCGCCGCACTATCCGCCGCCACATCATCCACCCGCAGGACCTCATGTGGACGTGCTGGGTTACCCCCCAGCCCTGAATGGATATCCCGCAAGACCGCCTCTTCAGCAACTCTACGATCCTCACGGAAGCATGAGGGCCCCTCTCGGGCCTCTCGGTGTACCCGGTGGCAAACCGTAAGCGCTTTCCTCGCTTTACTCCTCGCAAATCCCCACCTTTCGTGCATTCGCGCGTTGATCTTGAGCGCGAATGTCCAAGAATTCGATAATAATTCGACAAAGCAAAGTATTTTTTTAACGCGTTTCGCAAATTGATCGATCATCCATTAATCCTTTCGAGCGACTATAGTCGCTCTGCATAAGATGCATTTTTCTCGAGCACAAGCAATTAAATGGATCATCGAATTATTTTAACCCTTTCGCTACGAGTGACTTCTCCGCCAATTCAGCGGCCACGGTTACGCTTCGCGATTCGAGTTGCTTTGACGGTGTTTATCGATAGAAAAACTGGAGAAAGATACTCGAAAAGGGTTAATACGAGTCTTAAAAAGATTATCTTCGTCTCTATCTCAACAGGAATACATCTCCTTTCCATCCAAAACGAGTGTAATAAAAAAAAAAAGAAAGTGGATTATAGAAATTGCTTTGTTTCGCAGCGCGTACAGTTTCCACGTGTCGAGCGAGGGCCAGATGCAGCCGGTTCCATTCCCTCACGACGCTCTAATTGGACAAGGAATACCGCGTCATGCACGGCAGATAAATACCCTGACACACGGGGAGGTGGTGTGCGCGGTGACGATCTCGAATCCGACTAAATACGTTTACACCGGTGGCAAAGGATGCGTCAAGGTCTGGGACATCAATCAGGGCGGGAGCGGTAGCGCGAAACACGTATCGCAGCTTGATTGCTTGCAACGGGACAACTACATCAGGTTGGTTAAACGTTACGTTTCGCGCTGCGTCGCATTAACTTTACACGCCGTCTGGCAAACGCGGCAGATCCGCCGCTGAATAAATTTCGATTAGGCAAACGCGATCGCGGTCTCGTTTACTTACCGACCGTTGATACGTGTAATTTCGGGATGACACGGTCTAGTTAAAGCGCGGTAGGTTTGAAACGGTGGCCCCTTATCTCGGCTTTGAAGAGCGTTGATTGCCTCAAAATTGAACGTATACTGGGGGACTTGAACGAGTTTGGAAACGCCATGTCAGAGATTGGTGATCGATATCGGCTATTGAAAACGTCGGCACGATGTAACGGTTAATATCTGGAGTTTGCCTCGATACCTCGCCTCACAAAACTATTTGAATTACACATTTGGCAGACGGTTCAATATTTTAACGATGGCCGTGGAATTTTAACGATTTTCAAATGTTTGGTGTTTACATTCGCGCGAAAGCTAATATTAAATTTCTAATCTTTGCCAGGCCGATGGTAGATAACTTGGTAACTCCACTCTATGTACATCCATATATTTCGAACGCACTTAAACTATTAACACATCCTATAACCGCATCGCTTTCCATCGTGATATTTCATTCAGAGCCGCGTGATGGGATCGATCTCTTCGTCATTTATTTTGTATCCTCGGGAAACGTTAACGTAACGTTCGCATGGAAAATTCGTTGTCATGATCCCATCCTCCGCAATTAATCCACATCTCCGAATGAACGAGAGTCAAACTATCCGATCTGAAAAAAACCTGAAAAAAAAAAGAAAAAAGAAAAAAGAAAATGTTAACGCAAAAGCTAATTAATATTTTTCATTCTCACTCTGAAACAGATCGGTGAAACTATTACCAGATGGGAGAACCTTAATCGTAGGCGGTGAAGCGAGCAACCTCAGTATCTGGGATTTGGCGAGTCCAACGCCAAGGATCAAAGCGGAATTGACTTCGAACGCGCCAGCTTGTTACGCTTTGGCCATCTCCCCCGACTCGAAAGTCTGCTTCAGCTGTTGCAGCGACGGGAACATCGCCGTCTGGGACATACAGAATCAATCTCTGCTCAGACAGTTCCAAGGTCACACGGACGGCGCCTCGTGCATCGACATCTCGGCAGACGGGTCGAAATTGTGGACCGGTGGATTGGACAACACGGTCCGCTCGTGGGATCTAAGGGAGGGAAGACAATTACAACAGCACGACTTCACCTCTCAGATATTCTCGCTCGGCTACTGCCCGACTGGCGAGTGGCTGGCAGTGGGAATGGAGAATTCGAACGTCGAGGTGTTGCACGCCACGAAACCGGACAAATATCAGCTTCATTTGCACGAGTCTTGTGTACTCTCGTTACGTTTCGCTACCTGCGGAAAATGGTTCGTCTCGACGGGCAAGGACAATTTGTTGAACGCGTGGCGCACGCCATACGGTGCCTCGATATTCCAGGTGAACTTTCAATTCATCCTGACTCGGATAATACGGATTGTAGTGATTATGTAGTGAGATTGAGTTGAGCAGAAACGTGTATTATTATGATTTTTCATTTGTATATTTTATTATATTTTATCGTATTGTAAGAGAAAAGTGTATTTCAAGTATTTTATCAACGTTATAACTTCACATACATACATTCTTAATCCGTATCGAGATATAAATATAAATATTCAAGAAAACAATAATCTGATAATATTTTTTTCTTGTAATGCATGTTTGAGATCTATAACGAAATAATTATATCTCTGTTACAGTCGAAGGAATCTTCGTCGGTACTCAGTTGCGATATTTCTACAGACGACAAGTATATTGTGACTGGATCAGGTGATAAGAAAGCTACAGTGTACGAAGTGATATACTGAACAGTTACATGATCGATGCGACATTGGAAGACACTGGAACATCGTCGAGTGTACTACGCTTTTACATTAGTTCGTATGAGAAGATACAAGAGGAGGAGGCCTGTTCCAAGAATACGCATCATCAAAGATTGAAATTGAAACTCTGACAAAGTATCGTTGAGAAGGAGAACTTTTTGTGAAAACGAGTGATATATATATATATATATATATACGTTAGCGTGTGTTATATTTGTTAAATTTGAATCACGCGCAGCGGCTCTCGTATTGCACACGAGGAAGAAAAAGGAACAAAGATGAAGAAGCTGCGAACTGAAATTATATTATATAATATATATATATATATATATACGTAAGGTGGCAGAACATTTTAGTTATTTAAGATTGTATAAAACATACGGTTATAATAGGCCAAGAAGACGATTATGAATGAGACTATACGTGTACAACGTATATACATTCGCTCGGATAATTATGTGATCCGCGATTGTGTTCGACTTCTTTGACAGGGAGTCGCTTGTGTAATATGTTACTAATGTAATATAGAGTTTTACGACAAAACTATTCATTACGTACGATTGTGAGAGAGAGGCGAAATATTATTTTCACCGCGCGTGATGTCCTCGTGCTTTATTATATGATCGATGAAAGAACGAATTGATGTTTGAGAGAGAGAGAGAGAGAGAGATTGTATGTCGACGATCTAGCATGTAGACCTGTCGAAGTAGAAATGTGTGTGTGTCGTGTTGCAAAATTCTAATGTAATGTAATCGAACACACAACATGTAGAAGCAAGAAAAATGTTTTAATCCGAGGATAGAGAGAAAAATGTAGGTCTATATCGAACCGATGTAATTTTGATCGCGCTAAGATTGTGTAAAGGAAAATGGGGTTTTTCGTGTGACCCTCGAATATTTCCATTACGAGAAAGAGTATAAAAGAGAGAGAGAGAGAGCGAGAGAGAGAGAGAGAGAGAGAGAGAAGAAAAGAAAAATAAAAAAAAAAAGAAAAAAAGTAAACTACAATAATTAACCGTAAATTAGTACTCGTATAGTAAG